AAAAAAAAAAAAAAACAAATGAATTATCACTCCCAGACTATCGGGTTAGATGGCTTAGTTTTTAAGGAGAGAGTTGACCCATCATGAAATTGTGCATAACAGTTAGCATAACTAAATATTTGTTTAGAGAATCATGCCAACGGAATATAAAAGAAAATCAAACAACAGAGAATTGTGGATGAAAGATTGTCGGATGTCGTAGACAGTTCAAAATGGTAAATACAGCATCCAGAGTTTTTGGCTCCTACAAATGAAAAATAATGATTATTCCAACCAAACTTTAAGACTACTTTCACTGCTAGGTATGGAAAATTCAAGAATTGCAAAAGTACACAGATAAATCGTAAATTTAATAAGAAAAAAAAGATTACCTGGATATATAATTGTCTAAATATATTCTCAAAACGACATCCAGATCTCAATGTCGAAGAATCAGGTGTTTCTTTGTCTCATTGCACAGAGTATGAACAGCATAAAAATTGACTCATGACTTTCAACTGTTAGAGCAGAGAAAATTTTTTAAACAAACCAAGAAATATATTTAATGTGAATGATAAACTAAAAATATGTATTTTTTATCTCAGCCATCTGACCTGGACAATCCAAATGAGACGGCCTTTGCAGATGTCATTTCTTCTGTTTCGTAAATCTATGATTATTTTTTAATTTTCTGCTTGTACAAATTACAACTTTATACGTAATACTTCACTTTTAGAAATATATATATATATATATATTTTTTAGATATTGATTATATCTAGGATACATATAAAAAACTTAGGGCATCACTCCTCAACTTACTCCAATATATACTTTATAAAACCTTAATATACTCTTTTAAAATTCCTTGTACGATTTAGTCTCAAAAAAATCTGTGAAGCATTAAGATACAACAAGTATTCATAGACTATCTAGATTCATCTTCAAACCTGAAGCCTTTACTTTCACAGTATTGAATTCGTTTCTTCCAAGCAGGGTTTCACATCATTTAGAAAAAAAAAAAAAAAAAAAAAAAAAAATTGGATTATCTGAGCCATCTGACCTAGACAATCCAAATGAGACGGCCTTTGCAGAAGATGTTTCGTAAATCTATGATTTTTTAATTTTCTGCTTGTACAAATTACAAATTTATACGTAACACTTCACTTTCAGAAATATATATATATATATATATTTTTTTAGATATTGATTATATCTAGGATACATATAAAAAACTTAGGGCATCACTCCTCAACTTACTCCAATATATACTTTATAAAACCTTAATATACTCTTTTAAAATTCCTTGTACGATTTAATCTCAAAAGAATCTGTGAAGCATTAATCTAAATTCATCTTCAAACGTGAAGCCTTTACTTTCACAGTATTGAATTCGTTTCTTCTAAGCACAGTTTCACATCATTTAGAGAAAAAAAAATTTCGGATACTGAAGAATTTCTTTCGCAACTAAATCCACCATGATGAAGATTGAAGACTCCGCTTTACAAAAATCCTTTAAAATCTTATTGTACGATTGCTTCCCGCGAGTTGCAAGATCGACAAATTCTGTCATCGAGTGTACGAAAACTTTCTGCATCCACTGCGATCAATGTACATTGAAGACTTTCTGACAGATTCTTCGTTTCAATTTCTTTCACCATCGAAACAAACATAGCAAGAATAACAATGGCTGCGAGTTTAAGAGGCAAAGAAGAAACGACGACTCTGTCGATGAAAAATCGATCGGATTATTATCTCGGGAGACGGTCGATCCGATCGCGAGTAACGAGCCACGATGAAACTCAATTATATCTCGTCAATTACGTCGTAGTCCCTTGTTTGTTCAAACATAATATCGCGGCCGATAATTGGCCGTCGCGTCGCGGCGCCTCGCGTTCTATATATATATTCTCGAATTTTTGCACTCTTTTGGAAGCAACGCGACGCGAAGTTCCAGTCAGGAACCATTCGTTGAAACGACAGTTTGCTTTCTCGTTAATCGCGTGCGATCGGTGGCAAAACTGGAGGAAAATCTTCGGGCCGATCGATGCCCGAATTTCCTCGCGGAACGTCGACGCCGACGCCGACGTGAATTCGGCGACGGCGTTATCAATAACGCGTCGGGTTGCCATTGGCGCCAATAAAGCGAGAAAATTCCAAAGTCGTGCCTGGCAGATTGTGCCGATCGAGATTATCGTCTGCCAACCGCGGGACGATTTCGTAACGAACGAGTGCACGCTCGCGAGAATTTTCAAAGGGAAATTTCCTGGCGCGAGCGCGATCTACGGAGGAAAATCGTTAAACAGTTGCGCGTGCAAGCGAGCTGATCGACGATAAAATAAAATAGAGAGCGGCGAGTCGCTGTTACTCTTATCGAGAATTACCGTCGCGGCGGTACCGTTATTACCTTTTTATTCCGATCCTATCTTTGAATTATACGCGACTTCCGTGTGCTAATCTGCGTGTTGTACTCGAGAAATATGCATGTACATACGTGCGTTGCAACACACGGTCAACTACGTGCCTCGAGCACGTCTCTGTCTCCTCGCTCGAGTCTCCACGTTAACGAGCGAGCGTTCGAATTTTCTCGTTATACGTGTAAACGCTTCCTGTCGAAAGCCCAAAGTTTTCCCGACCATAAATGACTTATTAGCCGCCGAAAGCGCCTCCTCTAGTATTTGTGTGAATGTTTCATATAGAAGCCATACGTGCTTTTAATCTTAATTTCAATCGTCAACATTATGCAACAGGGGCACCGAAAGGTAGGGTCGTGTTCTTTCCTTACGTTCAACCTTTTCTCGAATTATCTATAGATTTACTTGGGCTCCATATGACTGCATGCAAGTATGTCTACAGTTTCTATTCGAGTACACACGGCTAGTGAAGAGAAAAACTTTATGGAAGAGTATATACCGGATATTTGAATTTTGGCTAACCAAGGCAACTAATATCATTTTCATAATTTGCATATCCAAATTTTTTGAACATTCGTAAATGTTAGGTTTGATGATTTCAACTTCCCAGGCATTCCTTTTTCCAATGGTCATTGATTGGTTCATTAATTAAAGTGATCCTTATCAGATTGTTCAAAATTTAGCTTCAGTGAATAGGCTTGAGGCTTCCTGGTTCACCATCATCACAGGAACATCTGTATAGGCAAGGAGTGTGTATGACTTCGTGAAGAGTATAAAGCACAATGTTACTATACAACTTTTCACTTAATCGTATTTTTAAGTCGACTTGTGACATATTATCCTGATTCGGCTCTAGCGAACTCATTTTTTCCCCAGTTCATAAAGTACTTTTTAAAGAGGAAATCCTCTAACAACTGTTGGTACTGTGAAAGTGGCATTTGCAGAATATTTTGCCTGTAAATCAGGGGACTAACATCAGTTAGCAACAAACAATGGAGAATAAACTAATATTTATCTGTAATAAACTAATATTTTTTAAATCTTCTTTAATCTTTCTTTAATCTGTAACAACAAAAATCAGAAATTCTGGTGGAAAAACAAAAACGACATTACTTTCCAGTATGCCTAATAATTGAAACTTTAAAGAGAAAATAAGTTGTTGGTCATTCACGTTGACAGCGCTCGGATCGGATTCCATGTGCAAACTGGGACACCGACAAAAAGAAACGCGTTAATCCAATGATTTCTTCTTAGTGCAACGAGCAACGTCGAGTACGCCAGAAATAAACGTTGAACACAATAAGTTGCCTCCTCTCGTGAAGCAGTTACGCTAACGCAAAATGGTACATTTGTAATACTGCAAATACTTTCCTCTCTTAAGATACTCGTGACCGTCGATTTTAAGGCTGAACGTCTTGCAATAATTTCCCAGAAGTTTCTTTCCAAAAGCTAAGTGAATATAAAAAATATTAATTCTTGAGACGATATCGATAGAATATCACAAACGCATCCGTGTAAACATTATTCGCAATAAATTGTCTTCATCTTTCATGGTTAAAAGATGCCTTCTAAACGTACAAAAAAAAAAATACATAACCTCATAATTTAAAACGAAGACACTTCCGATAATCTTGATAAAGAAAAAAACAGGTGATCAATTTATATTTACTACACAAGTGTTGTTATATTTACTTTGCAAACTTGACTATCATTCAGCGATATTATTACAATTTGATTAATTTCAATATTATTACGATTTTCACATAATCGTTAGACAAATGAAAATTGTATTCAACCATCTGGTGTGATACATAAGACTAGCAGCAGCGCCAATTTTGAGATAAGACTATGTTACCGATATTTAGTTAAAAAATTTAAAAACACGTAGAACTACGTTACCGGTTAAAGAATTCGAAGATGACGTAGGACTACGTTATCGGTCGCGAATGTGTTAATACAACGCCAGATGTGAGACAGTATTTAGTAAAAATTTAGGTTAGGTTTTACGGCGTCGATAGATGGATCGCTTTAAAAATAGAAAAAGAAAACTAGAGTTTGTAATTTCCTTCGAAAATACGCGCTAGATGTGGAGAGTGCATGATAAACATAGTAAAAGATCAAAGACGATCGGTGTAACAAGGGGGAGTGACGAACGATATCTTCGCGTCGATTCGACCAGCGTTAAACTCATCGCTCTTTCCAAGGCTTTTATTCAAAGGACTTATCGGCACGAGAAATTCGAATTAACCGACGCTATCTCTCTTTCTCTTTCGCGACTTTATCTTTT